TAAAAACTCGGAAAACCCACGTGCGGGCGAAACTGTCACTGGTCGCTGTCGTATTACTCAACGATGACAGATCAGAGGGGGGGAGAAGGGGGGAAACAAAAAGGATCTCAACCGTGTGGCTGTGGCCAGCGGCATGGCGTCCGACGGGCCGATAGTTGATGGGAATGGTGGTACATTAGTCCTCGAGCGGCCAATGGAAAATCGGGATCGAGTCGCTGTCGGGTAAGCAATGCAAGTGACCGACTCAGCCACAACCATTCCACCGGTACGATAAGGTAGGTAGCAGTGCAGCAGATATGGGATGTATACCTTACCTAGGTACCTACCTAGGTATCTATATGTATGCCGTGTTGTTCTATGCTGATGGCATTGTCATCGGGTTATATCACATGACCCATCTTGTACTCCCTCATCGTCTTGAGGTCTCCTCGTATAATATACTACATACCTCTACTAGTAACGTCCAATATAAGTTGCGTATATGCAATCCGCTGTGGCTTGAAGCTAGCTAGCTATACGACCTATCGTGAGTTTTGGACCGAGCTGCTGGTTGGTGGTGGATCAGCGTTGAAAAATCTCCTTCGTGAACGCCGATTTTTTTTTACATAGCTGGTGACTGTCGAATTCGGACCTATGATAGATTGCTAGCTGAAATACTACGTCCGTACATACGTACGTACGTAAGTAAGTATACAGCTGCTGAGAACCCTTCTTAAAAGCCATAGTATAGGTATCCGAACTTGGGTCAATTTTAATATAAATATATGTAGGTAGGTTAGATAGGCAAGTAACGTAGTAATTAATAACTAATGAGGCAAACGGTAGGTCTTTAAAGATCCAGCCAGACGCTTGGACTCTAAAGTAGAAATTGACATGTCGCTTTTTTTTTACAACGCCATTTTCGAGTCACTTACATATTTTCCAGACGAATAGCTCTTGTTTCCAAGGAAGCGGGCATAATTCGGGGAAGATCCGATCCAATAAGAATTCACAACAGCCTTGAGTGCCTAGTTTTGTTAAGAATGAATATATTATCAGGTGGATAGTTTCATATATGAAATGATGGACGTTCGGAATGTTCCTATCACGGATCGAGCCTTGTTCGCTACCCGTCCCGTCCCTTAATTTAAAGTCCAGCGCGTCGGGCCATAACTACCTTGGAACCTACGTACGTATCCTGTACATAGAGAAACATTGAAGCCCCCCTCTCGAAAAACGATTGGATGATACCCTCGCTACTCACCAGATTAGGTATTCCCTCAGCTCGACCGTGCCATCGTCTCTCAGGTCCCAGGAAGATGTTGGGCTGTACGAATTTCCACTTCAGCTCTGGATTCGACCCGAGGATTTGCCGCCAGGTTTTCGTATCCGCCGTCGACGGCGCTCAGCGCTTCCTATACGGGCCGGCAGGCGTTGATGTCAGCCGTGTAGTGCCAGACGCGGATCTGAGGTCATCATGCGCGAAAGCGAGAGTAGACCGTAGGAGAAGACTTTGGATCGGTCGAGACGGATGAAGACTGTTTTGGGGACTGGGGGTTCGTGCTCTACCCATATGGTCTTATCGCTGTCTTGAAGTAGATGCTTGAAGATCGCGAATTTAGCCTTTGGTGAGGTTAGCTTTTGACTTTGTGGGAGCCTTTATATCAGTGTAGAGACTCACTTGGTCATGGGCGTCTACTTTGAAGCTACGAAGAGCGTGAAGACCCTTGACTCTAATCTCGAGGTATGTGTAATAGTGGACTTCCATGTCAACTAGTTGAGTCCGTGTAAAGCTATATAGGATTGACGCACTCACAATCATCCTGGTTCATGCTACTATTTTGGTCATATCCACACTAGGAGAGGACGTCGTTGTGACATGCTAGATAACTTGTAATGATAAAAGCTCTACACTCTTCCATCGCTGGCGCCAGTTTCCCGAAGACACTATTCTAGGTTTCCCCTGGCTTATACCAAGTTCGTACCGACTTCCCCGTGGCAGGACTACTTGGAAGGTTGTTGTGATCAAAGTTGAATTTACCTGGGGCTATCTCAACCAGCATCTTTCCGGATCCGTGGATAATTGGTTCATGTATGGCTGTCCCGATGAAACGACGGGTTTCGGTACTCGAAATATATCCTTCGGCATCTGAAGAATGAACATAATAATATGGCCAGGTTAACTGTTAAGGCTCATTCGATTTCCGTAAACCATGTTCTTAACGCCGTGCCTCTTCCCTTTCTCATCGTCCTGAGTTAGTGTCAGTCGCGAACTCCTTTTTGATCGTAATAAGCTTACAATACTAATATTCATAACCTCCTAAACCGTGCTTGAAACGGAGGCAAGTATTGAGCCATTATTAGGACTGGATGGTCTCTCTCCGCGACCTTCACTATGTTAGTATATTCACCATAGATGATAGCGAAATCAGGTACGTCTGATTCGCTTGGCTCGAACGGCCCTTTACCTTCGTTCTTACCTGGTATTGTCTAAGGAAGCGTGCGAGCGAGTTCTGAGAATCTGTCAACAAATTGGATTATCTTGCGTGTCTCCTCAGAATGAGCAATCCCGGTTGAATCTTGCCACTCTCCTCTTACGCCGTTAGGATCACAATAATCAAAATTAAACCCCATGTAGTGTTTTACTAAAGGAACTTCATCTCTAGCCTACGTCTTGTGAGCTGTACGTAAGTTTTCATAGTTCCTCGTACTGAAGCTATCTATGAGCTGAGAAAGCGCTGTCTTTTGATCGTCAGTTACGGCAACTTTACGCGCTTCGGTGAGATCCGCACATATCTTAGCCATTTCCTTAGCATGATCACCACGACGAAAAACTTTAGCTGGGCGCTGGCCTTCGATCTCAACGCTACCGATGAACCGAGGGTAGCCGTCTTTTTGTGCAGAGGCCTGGAGAGCCTCGGATATGTCAAGGTCCTCAGGCGCCATATAATCACCACAGGAAATTTTTCTAAAGCGAATATTCTCCGGTATGACCTTTTTGACTTTCATTAGCCTAGTGACGGCCTCAAAATCTTTATTTGCAATTTTTTCCTTTCCAGGATAGTAGCTAGGCTGACATATTTCGGTTAGATATCCGAGATGGGCCGGTTGAGTTGCCATCATCTAGTCAATAATCTTTTCAAGCTTTCGGCTTGTCTTGGGCGATGTATTCGCCATTCCATGGGGGACACATGTGGAAATATTTGGAACAACCTTTTGGTTTTCATCATCCTGTCGCTGTAGTGTTGGTAGGCGAAGACAATACTTGCGTAGTTAAGGGGCTAGGTTGTTACCAGCAAAGCAGTTACCAAAGCTGGAGAGGAGCATGCTACAATACTCTAACCATGTATCTATGTCTTTTGGCTTTATGCCTTGGTTATAGAACTCCTTCCATCGTCCACTGCATGCTTTATATAACTCGAGAATAAAGTCAAAGATACCTTCCGCCTAGGGTGTCAGGGGATTTATACCCAGGTGATTGATGTCATACACAGAGTGAATATCTAGGATAGGTAGACCAAAATGATGATATATTGAACTAGTAACGCCTGGCTTCTACTCTCTTTCGAGGGCGCGTAGCGCCCTTTTATAGTAGATAGACCCCTGTAGGCCTCCTTACCCACTTATACCCTGACATAGGGCGATGTCTGACGAAGCATTATTCGACTGCCGTGCCAACACACCCGCGAGCATAGACTCTATATAGCTCCTATCTTTGATTTCATCTTTAGCGAGACTATCAAAGACACTGGCGAACTCCAGCCTATGTGTGACTTCATGATTTCTGCAGCTATCTAATGTCAACATTATGAAGTTTGTGACTGGCTTTCTTTTAGAAGTCGAGTAGGTACTTCTTAGAGCCTCTTATTCTAATTACCAATTTATAAGCTATTATAAAACTATACATATACACCTATCATACGAACAATATGGCTAAGATTAATATTAGTCACTTGCCTTTGCTATTGCTGGCTTACTTTCAGTCGGGCTGTCATGCTAGGATTGATCCAGCCAAGGCAATTCCGCGTCAAAGACAAGTGACAGACGAAAGAGCTGTCACGAGGTAGAACTAAACAACACAGAGACAACTTCGTTGTTCCGCAAGGAACTCTAAACTATCTACAAGGTTCTACGCATATCAGACACGTTGCCCTAAGAAAAATTCTTGAGGCTATGGGCTATATAACACAACTAATTTGGCTCAAGTCCAAAGCATACGATGAGCAACCGCACTTCGGAATCTTACAACAAGGCTAGAGGAAACAATAAACCGACTTAAAAAATACCGGCCGAAGTTCCGATGGGATACTTGAAGATGGACGGCGATAATCGGCAGCAGGCTGTTTGATCACGAGTTTGAGTACAGTAGGGAGTCCTTTTAGTGTGGAAATGGAATCAACGACGGCGAATGGACGAAGCCGAAGACGAAGGATCAGATTCCGGGAACGGGGAAATTGCCGATCACGATCTGGCCACTTTTAGAGCCCTAGACGAAAACGAAGAGACCGAACTGGTCGACGGGATCCCAATGCGGAAAAGCGCACAATCGAAATGGACATGGCTGATATCCTCGAAAGACAGAAATGAATCGGGAAGGCCCGAAAAGTAGAAGACGAAGAAATGCAGAGTAATGGAGAAGGTGTTCGAGTACGCTATCGTGAAGTTGATAGGGGATACATATCTAAGTGCTCGTAGAAGCTACAAAAATGGTTAATGTTAAGATACGCGATATAACATAACACAAGTAGAAATGAAATTTCATACATATTTTATGAATATTAGTCACTCATATAGCCCAAATCATTCAATAAGAAGGTGACAAGAAGTCGAGTCGCCCGACTTGTAAGGGGGTAGGATTCTGATAGGCTGAACATGCGAGGTTAGATACAGGGGTATATATTTACATATATCTCCTGACCGAAACGCCTGGAGAATACCAATGTCTTGTAACATAAATGGAAACAACACACTAATTTTAAAATATATATATATATACCTATATATACAAATAAAAAGACAATATGAAAAAATACCTAACCTCATCCCTCATCGCCGCGTCCGCGCTCGCGCTCGCGCAGAAGATTCCAGACCCCCTCATATGCGAAGACACGCTCGACGGCTCGCCCGCGTTCCAAGCGGATTCGATACCGTGCCTGCTGCGGTGCCAGGACCCGCTGGCGGCGGCGACGGGCAGTCTGCTGCCGGGCTCGGTCAACGAGACGGCTATCCCGTACTGCCAGCTCGACTGCGTGCACCGCGCGGCGTCGCCGGCGCAGTCGACGCGCGCGCCGGATTGCTATCGCCGGTGTCGGGTGCGCAACCAGGGGTCGCCGGAGAATGCTGGGTGGTGCATGTATTGGTGCGTGGACGGGTTCGGGGACGTGGTTGAGGCGACGGCTTGTGTGCCGTCGTTGGAGTTTGGGGCTGTGAGTACTGTTGTGGAGGATGGGCGGACGGTGACTTTTAGACGTGAGTTTCTTTTTTTTTTCCTCTTTCTTTTCTTCTTCTTTTGGGTAGGGCTTGACAGAATTGGGAACGGGATTGGGATTGGGATTGGGGTGGGAGTAGGAGTGTCTGTATAGGTGTGGGTATAGTGCAGTTGAGAAGTAAGGTGTCTAATGCTGTAGTAGCTGTAAGCCAGGGGTTGGAATGGCGGAGCTGGTACGAGACGCAGACCGTGATGCCGATTACGTCTAGTTCTAGCTTTACGTACTCGGCTCCGTATAGGGCGAGTCCGGCGGGTTCACCGCAGAGTACGAGTACGAGTAGTCAGGGTGGGCAGGTGACTCAGACGTCGACGTCGGCATCGAGTACAGAGTCTGCTCAGAGCACGGGGACGGGGACGGAGACGAGTGGTGAAGCTGTTGCGTCGCCAACTACTACGGCCGCGGCGGGACGTCTTTCGCAGGTAGGTTTGCTGGGAGTCTTAGGTGCTGTTGGGTTTTGGATTGTGATGGTAGTGTAAATTTCGCTAGAGGGTATTGTTTGACGTTTAGGAGTAATGCTTGTGCTCATTATTATTAGTTGGCATTATATAAGTACATAATTATAATTTGATATGTAGGCGCCAAACTAGACCTGCTTATTTTATTATAGGAATACATCTTAGAGCTATCATGAAAGACATTAATAAGACTAGCTTTAGACATGCCTAGTGTAGCTACGAGCTTGTGACGGAGGCGAGCTCTGTTTGACCCCTGACAAATCTAGAACCATCATCTTTTAAGTCTCGAGCTTTCTAGCCTACGACCTATTTTAAGATCATAGTTTAGCTAGCTAGGAGGCAATCATGAACTTCGAAATGCATTAGTACATATGTATGGTTAACGACGCGTGCATACTGTAAGTTGATATACGAATCTGACACTTGTCGATCATGTACGACCCGAGTGCGGAATAGCCAGAAAGTACCGCCTTAAGGGTCATTACGAAAAGTCGCTACTGCTCTCCTCGTGAATAGTCTGAGAAAGCAACCCCCTGCGTCGTCTCTTAGGCTTTTCAGAAGACCTTAGTAGCTTCCACTGTCTTTCAAATATCTCGTTCGCATCGTCTTTTACTTGCTGTTTTGATTTTACGTGTCTCGAGGTTGAACTGGCTGTGGATAACTTGCTAGAGCTGTCTCCGGAACGAGTACCGGAGTCTAGCTCATGATATTCCTGATCGTCGTCATCTGAGAGTAGGAGCTTATCCTTCCCAAGATGATCTGAATCTCGATCTTGTGATGCATCGACACCTAGCGTAACAAAGACGAGGCTGGACGTCCCATAGAGCGCGCAGCCGGCACATATACCTATAATAGCTGCGTAGGCGAACTGTAATTGGGTAGTAAGATCAGTATGATTAACGGCGCTCCAATATATTATGCTATTGCAATTGGATATCCTTACGTAAATATAAAGGTACTATCTTACGATTAGCATCCGAGCCTTGCTATCTACGCGGGCGAACTATGAGGGGTATCACAAAGTAGGCTATAGGAGAATACCTTGAGCTTAACAGCCAAACCAACAACAGCTACGGCCGTATTGGAGATCGAGTGAAGCATGTACCAGATGGGAGATAAGAGAAATACTACTAGAGTATAAAGATAATAGATTGGATAGTGTAGAGGTATCGTGACGATATAGCACAGCTTCAATATAAGCTTCAGCGCGGGATATAGGTATGAGGTACCAAACGTCTGCAAGGGCTTTAGGAATTTTAGCCAATCCATTTCTGCGGATTGGCCTCGTGGCCTAGATAACCTGAACACGACGTGACCACGTCGTGACCGATGATCTCTCTAAAGTCGACCGGTGAAAAGTTAGTTTGTAGTTTGCGGAATTGTTCTCTCCGGTATATTGTGTCAACTATATCGGTCTCTTTACCGAATAATATTATTGTCGTTGGATAAGGTATGACGAAGGTGACGCTTCCGGTCTTGGCAACGCGCAGGTGCAGATTCAGATGATCTACTTTAGGTACCACAAAACGCGTACCATATATGCGGTTGTCCGATCCGATTTGGGGTAAGTTGGTACTGGTACCTAGTCACCTAGTATAAGCTCTAAGTTTTAGAAAGTCGAGACAGGTTTGTAACTTAGCTCCAATCGATGATCAAGTCGATCGAAGCTTGCATGTGGCTTTCGGGAATGTATTTGAAACTTTTGGGTCATGGGGAAGATTTGGAGAAGCTTAAGGTTGTTATGTAATTGAATATTGTACCTCCTCCTGGTACGTACCTCTTAATAGGTACATGTAATTCTACCTGTAATATCTGGTTGGAACTGGGACATGTTACCAGTCAATGCTCACCGCTGACTGACCTCGACGAGGACATATATTTCGTGATGCATGTATAGATTAAAATGTCTCTTTTATCGTCTCATACAAACAATGTGTATATACTCACTTTATTAGTGTAAATATTCGTTTTATTTTTATAGATATTTTTTTAGTTGAATCCATAAGTATGTCGTTAGATTTATTATATTAACTTAGGTAGGCACAATTATATAAATATTTGTATAAATGATGAAATCATGAGTATATAATAAAGTATTTGAACTAATTTGATTACGTACCTTACCGCGCCGGGGGGGTTTTTAAAAATGCTTACAGCAATAATATCACCTTTTTGAAATCATATTGGTTTGAATGTGTAAAGGAAATAATTTTTAGTTGAATATATGTCGATTTAATAAATATTTCAATGACTTGACATGGGGTTATATACATAATGGGTTTGAACCTTAAAATATTTATGTAATAAACATGGGTTTATATACATAACATGATTTTAATATGTAATCATTTCAAGTTGAAATCATTTTGAAAGTATGACATAATTTTAATATGTAATTATTTCAAGTTAAAATTATGTTGATTATGTAACATGCTTAAGTAAGGCTTGAGTAGTGCTTACGTAAGCCAAAAAGGGACTAAAAGTTGAAAAAAAAAATTGAAAAATTTGAAATTTTCGGTCGGGGTTGGCTGCTTTTATGAGGGCTCGAACGTATGACCTTAAAGTTAAGGTTTTATTTTTAAGGTTTTAGTACGAAAAACCTAATCAAATGGGTGGCCAGGCCATTTGATTGAGTCATTCGAATGATTATGTAAAACTGTTGGTTCTTTTCTTATATAACCTTTACTTGGGTACGTAAAAAAAATTTGTGGGGGTAATTTTTGAAATGATTTCGAATTTTGAAATGATTTTACACCTCGAAATGATTGCATATTTTAAAATATTTATATATGCAATATTATTATATTATTATTTTATATAAAAAATACTTTTTATAATAATAATATGTTATATTTAAATATTATTTTACATATAATATCGTTATAGCCATTATTTTTAAAAATAAAAATATTTCATTTTTTTAATATATTTACTGACATATTTTTACATTTGACATTATCGCTGTAATCATTTTAAAAGACCCCCCCCGCGCGCTAAGGTAGTTAAGTACATAGGTACTTGGACCCTTGCGGTGATATTCGGCTTGTGGCCCGTGCGCTATTTGCTAACTGGGGATTAAAGCGGGCAAGGGAGGAACGGCTGGAAGGAGCAGGGGATATCGATTGATTGGATTCGCGGTTATCATGGAAGGGAAGGACAACTTTAGACAATCCTAGACAACCTACCTAGACAACCTAAACTTGGACCTGAACCTCGTCCTTCCTCGTTTAGATCTTCCCCCAGCTCCCAGCTTGCCCAATCGCTTACCCGTGCTTTTGTTTTTTTTTTTTACTTGTCTCATCACTCCAACTACTTAAAAATCGCGAAAACGGTCTCATGACCAATTTTTGCTTGCCATGATCCACGTTTACTCGTTCTCAGCTTGACTCACTTCCGACAAATCCAAGCAAATCCAAGAAATTCTAGTAAATCCTCTTCTGTCACACCGCTGCTCTCTCTTGCGGCACCCGCGCAACTTGCCCACGGCCCACGACGCACGACGCACCACATCCCGCCCCGTCAGCTTCTTACTTCCCCGCCATTGAACCATTGCCTATTGCCCCGGATATCCAATACCCATTACCTATTACCCATAGTCCATAGCCCCTTTCTAAATTCCCATAGGAACAAGCAAGCCTAGCCTAACTATCAAAGGGGGGAAATCCTTTCCTTCCCCAGCCCCCCACGCGAGACAATGGGAAACAACCCTTCCTCAGTGTCGAAGCCGGCTACCCCCACTACTGCCTCGTCTTCGTCCCACGAATCCCCGCGAGCTTCTAAGAATCAACCCAAGAACCTGGTATCCATCCATAACCAGCACATTAGGTCACCAGCCTCTCCCGAAGCCTCGACCATCCAGGCAACCGGTACTTCGATACTTAACAAGAATTCGAGACCGCTCTCCATACTTAACTCGTCCTCACCTTCAGCTAGCTCTTACCACTCCACCGTTGCTCCTAAGGTTCCCGAGCAGAAGCCGAAGCCTGCCGAGATTAAAGATGAACACTCCAAGCCTGTAGCCGTACCCTTCTCCTCTTCCCATTCGGAACAGGTCTCATCTTACATTCACGATTTCCACGACGAGGACAGCTTAATATCAGGCCCCACCAGCAGCATCCAGGATATGTCCTATCCACACCCTCGGCCGCCGCGCCTCCCGCTCCCGATAGAGGAGGAGATCCATACTCCCGGGTCGCCGATCATCGCGCCAAGCGATGCTGACGTTAAGGGTGTTGACGACGTCGCATCGCTCGACGATTCGGCTAGTCTAACTCGTCGTACATCAGGACTTAGCAATGCGACTGACGAGGATGACACCGAGGAACTTCGGGTCGACAAGACGAGACCTACGATACCAACCCGGATTGAGTGGTCCCGGGGCGGCCAGAAGGTCTATGTCACAGGAACGCCGTTTCAATGGAGTAGGAAACAGCGATTGCTTCCATCGTGAGTTTATGTCTTCTCGCGGTTATTAATTCGGCTTCGAATATCTAGCGACTAGGCGACGACCTTGTACGCTAGGTAACATCGGTTAAGCAAGTAAAACTCTTGATCGTCTGACTGCTGACACTTTTCGGACTATAGTAAGGATAGGGAGAATGTGCTGGAGACGGTAATACCTGTTTTTCCAGGCACGCATCATATAAAATTCTTGGTCGATGGCAATATGCAGACGTCGCCAGACCTGCCTACTACTGTCGATTTTGGAAACAATCTGGTAAACTATATTGAAGTAAGCGGAGAAGATACCGACTCGCGAAACGTTCCCTTAGATGTCGGTGTTCCTAAATCGAACGAGGCTGCTTTATCTCTTCCTTCAAGGCAGCCTTCACACGACGATTCCGCTAGGGGTCCCCAGCAGAAGGTCATAGATCCGGTTGAGAACTTCTCGGGGAAAATCCCCCAATACCTAGAAGATTTTGACCAGCCCGAAGATTCTTCATCTTATAGACTTTCTTCCTTAGCCCTCGAACGACTCCCACCACCACCCAGCTTACCTGGTTTCTTGAGTAAGCCAATCATGAACAATGTCACACTGATCAAGGATGACAACAGCGTCCTGAACATGCCAAATCACACTATGCTTAATCACCTGGCTACTTGTAGTATTAAGAACAATGTCCTTGCCGTATCGGCCACTACCAGGTACCAAAATAAGGTAAGTTACTTGTTGATTGTTGTTACCTTTCTCGAATCTTTAGAGCTAATGGTCATAAAGTACGTGACTACAATTATTTACAAGGCTACGAAGAACGAATAGTTTTCTTCGATGTTCGTGGTAAAAGTATGAGATTGTGTCGGATGTCCCTGGGATACGTCACATTTCCTATTGTACGGGAGCTTATCTCAATGATGGCAAGATGTCCCGTTATGGGCTTGCAATCAGGACAGGGGAGAAGCTTTATATGCTGTGCTTAGAACACAACTCCCGGATTTGGAGTGCAGCACTTATCAGTGTCCCGTGTCTTGCACCAACAAGAAGATGATGAATTCGGTAACGGGGTTGCTCGTGTAAAATGCATTGCGCAATGATTAAAACCATAAAAACGGTTGCTACGTATGAGGATAATACGATTTCATGAAACCATAGAAGGATGCGTTATGATGTAAAGGTTATAGCTGCGCAGGCAGAACATCCGGAATCCGTTTAGACAATGCTGGTAATAAATTTAGAGAAATTCGGCACAATCACAATGGGGCGTATTATACGGCTCTTAATCTCTCCATTTGACATAGACCTCATCTGTTCTAAATCGTTGCGTACAAGTACTATCCTCTAGGGGCGTACGGAACCCTGTCTCGTAGGCCAGTAGACCTGCATGCGCGATCATGATTCCGTTGTCAATGCAAAAGCGCTCGTCAGTCGCATATACGCTTCCGCCTCTCTCCTTAGCCATCTGTCCCATCATCTCTTGTAGACGTTCGTTGCATCCTACGCCACCTACAATAAGCACCTGGCTACTACCTACGTGTGCCATAGCGCGTTCGGTGATCTCGACAAGCATGGCATAAATAGTCTCCTGGAGACTATAACACAGATCCTCAGGCGTAATTCTATCCTCTTCCTTGACCTCCCCGCCCGCCGCAACGCGCGCCTCCTGCTCGCGCATCTGCGCGGCCAGCAAATCGGCCGCAGTCAGGATGCCGCTAAAACTACAATCCATACCCTTAACCGCATACGGCAGATCAAGCAAGACGCGGCCCGAGGACCGACGAGCCAGCAGCTCGATGTTATAGCCCGGAGCCGGGTCGTTGCTGATGGCCAGGGTGCGCGCGAACCGGTCGAGGCAGTTGCCGACGGCAATGTCCAGCGTCTCGCCGAAGATGCGGTACCGCCGCTCCGCGTACGCGATCACCTGCGTGTTGCCGCCCGACACGTACAGCACGACGGGGTCCGTGGCCCCCGTGATCTCGCGCCCCATCTCGATGTGGCCGACGCAGTGGTTCACGCCGACGAGGGGCAGGTCCCAGAGCAGCGCCAGCGTGCGCGCGGCGACCGCCACGGATTGCAGCGGCGCGCCCATCCCCGGCCCCTTCGTGTAGCACACGCAGTGTAGCTGCTTCTCGGGATGCGTGACTCCGGCCGCGGATAGGGCGGCGCGCGCGACCCGCGCGAAGAATGCGCGGTGGTGTCGCGCTGTGTCTTTGGGCAGGAATCCGGTCCCGGGGGGGGATACGAAGGTGTCGCGGATGTTGGCCAGGATGGCGGATTTGCCGGTCGTTGGGTCGTGCGATATTATGCCGATGCCGAGTTTGTTGGCGCTGCCTTCGCAGCCGATGGCTAGGAGGGGGGTGGTGGGCTGTTGTTTTGCCATGGTCTTGTTCTTGTTTTTGCTTCGTTTATTGTTAGTAGAGATAGTAGGGTATAACGCTATGTTGGCTGCGGGGCTACTTTGATATATGAGTGAGCGTCTATAGATTTTAACGTTAAAATATTGAAGGATGGTTACTGTAGTTTGTTTAAAATAAATGGTTATAATACTATCATATTTAGAGTTTATACGGCATAGAAACTTGTATAAAAGTTATAATAGATCCGTGTAAGAAAGTATGAGGTAGCTATTATGAGGCTATCTCGCGGTGGGGTCCTCGCCTATCTGCCATGTAAGAGCGGGAACGCAGGTGCAGAGACCCCTCCAATGACGACTAAATCTTTAAGCTGACAGGCTGAAGACCCTTATCGATAGATTGTCTTCCCTAATTGGCTAGTGTGCAAGCTTTATTGGTGGGTCTCCGGCGCCTTAACGTTTAGGTACCAGTTGGCCGTCTGTCGAGTTGCACTAGAGTGGGGCAACCGCACTTACTCACCTAATATCCTAATGTTTCTTGACGGGTAATAATAGCCTTCAGTCCTCTTTAGCACCAAGGAGAAATATTACCAAATCGTCTTTTTTACTCTACTTTTCTAACCTCTTGCTTGCCCTTCCTCCCACAAACTTGATATATACTCCCATGTTATTTTTTACATACTTCCGATTCTTTGTGACTTCTTGTATTCCTTCAGTCTTACATCCGTATCGCCTCCCCTGTCCATGTACTTTTTAAACAGGAGCTGCATGTGTAGCGATTCGCCATTTCTGGTCGGTAATCCGAGACGACTACTCATCTAGTCCGCTTTCTAACCATCGCTGACCTTTTTCTCTCGCAGATAATATATTCTTGATATTCTCAACCCTCTCACAACCTGAAATTTCCTGCAATTTAAGACAATGGGCGTATCTATTAGCTGTTTACTCGTTGCGAGCTCCTCCTGCAGGTCAGCAACCCTGCGACTGTGCGAAATCCCAGACTCTCCACTCGATCGATCTCTGTCACACACACCACCGATTAGAGAATCATTGACGCTGGGAAGAAACGGATAACCTCTATATTACTACTATACTTTTAACCCCCCCGGGCCTATGTACTTGCTATGGTCTTGCACCGGGCTACAGCCGAGTATACCTTGCTTACCCAAGAAGGATTCCCTCGAGGCCGTGGCAGTGCGCCGGAGTCGCTGACATGAACGCAACGCCTATCTTACGCTAGTTACTTCGTCAACTGTGAAAAGCGCAATATTTTTGTGCTTTTAATCCGCCTCTAGCAATCTAGTGGCCGTATATTATTCGTAAGTCCTCCTCCAGCTTTCGGTTAGAATCGCAACACCCATGTATATCACTTTCTCCGCACGGTATCTCCGACGTCAGATACCAGATCAGCTATAAGGTCTTTGACCAGCGACATCAAACTCCAATACTTGAGATTAATTTTCTTCTTGATTTTATACTTTGAAATTTTTTCGCTTTCCTTTTTATACTGTGCATATAAGCTAAGTTGTGGCAGTCCTAGCTAGCTCCAGTACCCTACGATCGTTCTAAGCCAGTGGAACCGAGAAGCGGAAACGCCCAAGACTATATTATCGCACGGCGATTTGTATTCTAGCACAATACTTTTTGCGATGAGCATCCTTGACTGAGGAATAGGGCTGTCGCTGTTTCGACCTCGGACATGACTCGAACAGCATGCTAAGAGCAGCTCAAATTCGTCAATACTTTCCCTAGAGGCAAATCCTCCAGTCGACCTTCCAGGAAGCGTACCCGCTTGTCAAGTTATGCAAAACAACACATCGAACACTTATAGTCTTGCGACTTCTATGGAAACAATCATCGAATACGAGGACAAGCATCACGCAGACCAGTCAAATCAAATACAGCCACGAATAGAACACGAGGTATTTGTATTCATACATTGGTGCTCTTTGCCTCTTTCGTCATTCAGAGCCCTAAACGTCATGTTTGAACGCGCCCCTAACTCCGCCGGCTATGCATATCGCTCCGCATACTATATATTACATCAAAACACTAATCGGCTACACATCTCGATCTGCCATCTTCGTTCAGCTCATATGCTCGCGGGAGTATGTACAGGTTGCTAATGTGAACTTATGAAAACTGGCGGAGAGGGATGGGCATATCGGTTGATCTTTGATCTCAACGATAAAACCCGTAGAGCGCTCTATCTGTGCTCAAAATATAGCTGAATGGAGTGCGCTTAGGTTCGATATGGTTCGTGCCTGCTCTCGTCTGCAGGACGGAACAGGTAAATACACTTGCCTTTTCCGAGACATGGTATACTGCTGTGTATCGAGCAACCACTTGAGAAACTCAAAGATGGTTGTTTGTTCGCCATCTGTGGTTTTATTGCCCAGAAAAAGCATTACTCGAGCGCTACGTTTCAGTTTCCATCAATCCTTCCAGATCAACCTTAAAAGCCCAGTGAGGGCTGCTTATGGCTGGAGATCTATTTCATGTCTGAGGTGGTCGTTGTGACTGAGGCTGGGCCGTTGGTGCTTGGGGTTGCGGCAGGGCCTGACGACTTACGCTACCTGCCTGGAGAGTAGCAGCATCGACTCCCTGTCTCTTAAATAAAAAGGGCGAGGGCGGTATCGTCGACCGGAATTTCATCTGACGAGAGCTGTTGGGGTCCACTTCATACACCGGTTGGTCATCGTCATCATCATCCTGGTCATATTTCCAACGGTCACTCTGGATAAAGTCCATCTCACGCGGAGGAGTCTTGTGCCCATTAAGTTTGGGAGGTCGACGGTCGATAAACAAGCGATTTAATCGCCCTATACGACGACGGTACGAACACATCTCTTCGGGCTCTGCACCACCTAGGTTGATACTATTGGAACTGATTTGCTGGAAAGACTGAAGTGAATCTAATTGGTTTTCCTCTTCCGGCTCCATGGAATCTGATGCAGATGCCGGCGGAGTCATCAAATAGGTGGTCTTTGCGGGCCTAAAGCTTAGCTCATTCTCCTCCTGGACGGGAGGTAACGGGTCAGCAGTTAGATCCACATAGTTGTTGTTCCATCTTCTATGGTTCTGGATCTTTATCTCGACATCGTTACGCAATTCATTCTCCTTTTCAGCGAGTTTATCAGCCAAGACAGCAAGATCGGCGGGTTCCACAGTTCGTCCTCCGTCAGGGCGGACGATAAGACGGAGCTGGCCATGAGGACCAGCGCGCGCTGGTTGTTGCGCCTCCGTCCTAGGCCGTTTCTGCGGTCTAGCGTTATAGAAGTCTTCGTCATCACCTTTAATGCCGAGGCGGTTCTTACTCTCCTTGAGGCCATTTCGCTGTTCGAAGATAGATCTATCGCTGCGCAAAAGCTCCCGCTTGAATATCTCTCGCTGGTATGAGAAGACCACAATCTGACGTGCATCTTCCAGTTCCTTACGCAACTTTTTTAATTTGTCGCTCACCTGCGCGTCGCGCGCCCTCGTCTTTCTCGTCTGTCGAACTTCACGCCTTCGGAAGCAGACGTAAGGGTCCATATCATCATGCTCTTGATGAGTTTCGAACTTGAGCGAGGGGTTCAAGCTCCTGCTACCGCTCACCTGCCGTCGAGTCTTCCAGTACTCGTAGACATTCTTAGCATGCGCTTGAACGAGCTTGACGGGGACTATGTGGTTCATAGCCTGGGCCATAACGTCAAAGGGCACTACTGTATTGTCAACTGCAGCAAAGGGAGCTTGCTCTGCGGCGGTATCTTCGAATACTTCCATTATCCGCTCGAAATCATCCTCCGAGAGCTGAGTATTTCCTGTCCACTTAGCATTGTAGGACTTGAGGTATTCCTCATCCTCTGTGGTCATATCATAGAGACAGCCGAGCGTCTCTTCAACAGTTTCGGAGAACTTTATGTAATTTCTGGGCTCTACATATGGTGTGGGATACAGCTCATTATAGTCCGCCTCGCTCTTCTGCGGCGGCGGCACTGGAATTTCATTATCCGTGCTTGCACCAACCCCTCTAAGGGCAGCCTGCAGATGGTATTCCTATTGGTAGACATGTTAGCCTATGGTAAGTGGTTGACGTTATCTTGATATATCTCGATATATCTCGATATATATCTTTATATCAAAATGGGTAAGACAAGAGTGTTTGTAGCACGTGACATGTCACGTGATATGCATATGAAAGGTAAGAAATGTAATGATAACTCACATTTTCCTCCGCTTGTTCGACACCAGTTGCGATTTGTGATTCGGTTGTGAGAGATTCATATTCGTTGGGGTCGATTTGGTCTTCCCGAAGTACGGGTAGAGGGGTTTTGATGTTAAGTTTCTTGTATCGCACTTTCCGGGTCGACATGGCGGTCAGCGGTGTAGAAGGATTGTAGGGGAAAAATCGACAAAGAGGTCGGAAAACCCCCGAAAAAATTCGGGAACCAAAAAATTTAGATCATGCACTGATGAAAAATTAATTTTAAAAGAGTTAGAATTGCTGTTTTGGCGGTTGTTTTGATGGTTAAAGTGTCGACTTGGATGAGGTGACGTTGAATTGTTTGGGGCGCAAATTTTTGCTTGGACGCCGCAGGCAGCCCGAGCAGCAACAACAAAGTGAGAATAGTGATTGTGCAGGTTGTGCAGAGGGTCAGAGTGTGAAAGAAGCCCCACCAAAAAAGAACTTACGCCTTCCTCCTAGCCCGTAACTATCTAGAATACTGGATCCTGATTGGTTGCAGCTTGGCGGCGTGCAATTTTGGGCAACAACTTTTGGGGGAGGGGAAGGAAAAAGGGGGAAAGACCCGGGGTGCGATAGCACCTGCATCCAGTAAAAGACATAGTGGTACTTTCGCAACAGGTGCATTTTTGGTTTCCATTCTTGAACCTACTATGTACTTTCCAATTGAAATACAAACCTATTCCTAATTAGCATTTACTACGTACTTTTGTAGATTACCCCTTTTTATTTCCTTTTCTTTATAAGGAACGAACACGAGACATAAACCATAAGTATTGATAAGGTTATTGAGGTCATGTCATCATTATGTACTTACTTGAAGTACCTTGCGGATCTGTACTTACAAAAAATGAGGGACCTTACCCAGAATTATGCATTCGAGACATACATGTTAATTAGGTAGTATGTACCTATTCACAAACAACAACGACTACGCTAGCCTACCTATACTTAAAGCAATATGTATGTCTGACCAACGCATCGTGCATCTTGTTGAGATAATTTTTTTTTTTACTATCTTCGCATGCGGCGGTGTAATTTAATTGTAGATGTCGTGAGATCGTATGTTGTATCTTGGAGTTCTAGATTTTTTTAGTTGTAGGAGCATTTCGTCCTACGAGTTAATCGGAAATGGCATGGATCCATTCCTATTCAGCCACATGTAATCAGCCACAGTGAAATATCTGATAAGATAGATAAAGAATTCTTGGGAATTTTATGCAAGGAGATATGTATATACCTCTTTGAAAGACTCGAGTCTTTCATGATGTATATCCCTACCTAGGTATAAGTTCAATAAGTACAATCTATAAACGTACCTCTTCTCTCTGCTAAGCCGTTTATAGCCATTTCTCAATATTTCTTTGTTTAGTAAGTGGCTGCCTTGAATCATTACGTACATTTAGTCATGTACAAAGCACCTTAGCTGTATAAAGTACCTATGTACCATGTGGCTTGTATTATCAGATGCGGCTGTGCTTCCTCCAATCATTTACACGTAAAAGGCAATTCAGATCTAAAGGTCGCCTCGTCAAGAACAAGACCCCACCAGGCCGCGTTCCCACCCAACTCTCCATCAGCCTCATCACAAGAGGAACATCGCAGGCAGAACGTACTTAAAACATAATAGCATCTTTCAAACACCACGACGAATAACCTCCATTCCTTTAACGTAACTTCAACCACATCTCAGTAATATACTCATTTAAACAACCGAGTCTTATACATAGCAGCTCTTTATCCAGCCTCCCCGTCCCGGTATTTCGAGTCCGCCTCCGTCAAGGGGCTTCCCAGCAACATGGGTAATACAACGAGCGCCGTGCTGGATAACATCGTGCAGGGGTCGAATTGTATGTATTCAGCTCCCCCCCAATGGTTACTGTCGAGTATAGTCCTAATTGCGCCGTATAGTCGACCGCGAGGAGGTTGATAGGCTGAGGAAGAGATTCATGAAGCTTGATAAAGTACACAGCACCCCGGCCAACTCTCTCTCTTTCGATATGCGCCTAAGCTAATATTATTGGCTTCCATAGGATAACTCGGGCACCATCGAACGAGAAGAGTTTCTGAGCTTACCGCAAATATCGTCCAACCCGCTCGCTACGAGGTACAGCCTTCCGCCTACTCAAATTTCCTAGCCTCCTTCACTACTGCCGAATACTCCCCTCCCGCAGAAAGTCAAGACTAATCTAATAATGTTTTCCCCATAAATAGAATGATAGCGATCTTCGACGAAGACGGAGGCGGAGATGTGGACTTCCAGGAGTTCGTGTCGGGGCTGAGCGCGTTCAGCAGCAAGGGCAATAAGGAGCAGAAGCTGCGGTTCGCATTCAAGGTATACGACATCGACCGGGACGGGTATATCAGCAACGGCGAGCTGTTCATCGTGCTCAAGATGATGGTTGGGAGTAACTTGAAGGACCAGCAGCTCCAGCAGATCGTTGACAAGACCATTATGGAGGCCGACCTTGATAAGGACGGCAAAATCAGCTTCGAGGAGTTTACTAAGATGGTCGAGAATACTGATGTTAGCATGAGCATGACTTTAGGTAAGTTTCGCTTTTCATTATTCTCTCAGCTGTAGATGTGAGTTGGATGCTAATACGGCTATGATACAGATCAGTTCTAGATACCTAGCTGTGCCACCGGCGATGTGGCCGTAGTAATGAATTATGAAGCCTGGGACGAACTTATACTTGTTAACAAGTGAACCTCGTCATCTGTCAAGACTTACTGATTATCAATCTCACTCGCAAGTTGGGGACAGGGAAGTATTGCTATGAGTGAGCGGGAGCTTAGACAAGGTACTAAGATGGGTTCAGTATGTATTCGCCACGACGGGTCCCCAGAGATAGCCTCAGAAGTTGTACCCATGCATTAGGTAAATATGAATGTATGACATTATGAGAGCTATAGACAATCTGAAGAACTCCTGAGATGTCAATGCGAATAACCAGGTTCACTCGCCTATACTTTATACTACTTTACGATTCAGTCTCTCGTTAAAGATGCGCGCCTCTTTGGGGATATGTGGTAGAACCTGGTGTTTGGATCCGACTCGCTAGGTCCTTATATTATCTTGTGCCCAAAAAGACGGTCTAGTTATCCAAGTTCATCTTATACTTTGGGATTTAGATCACCCCTGACTAAAGGACGCCCTATTTCTAGGCCATGTTTTCGTAGTGAATTGTTACATAGGTATACATTATATCAGTCGATTTCAGAATCTTGGAAAGAAAGACGGCCCGGTATTAAGGGGATATGATGGTTAAGAGAAGGGTTATAAACTAAATTCTAAGAATATTTCCGTCGGGGTTGCTGTGTTTCTTCCCTGAATGATAATGTTTAGTCAATCTAGGAGGTTAGAGCGTGTCCCGAGACTGACTGGAGGAGAAAGCAGCAGCAGCAGAAATTCGAACATAAACATATAGCTAGATGTTCTAACTCCTATTGCCGGGGTAATTAACCTATGTATATATTCAGGGGTAACTAGCGTCTTGGGAAACGAAAATATAATGGCATGGCTAGCTCTGTTCCAATGTAATACGTCATGAGCCGCATGGCCCGTTTCGAGTCTCGGCAGAGAATCCAGATTCTACCTACTTTATAGTCTTAGGATAAAGAAACTAACCTAGCAAGATCTCTCTTCTTGCCCGATATACTCTATCCTGCTAGGCAAAGAAATACGATATCTCGTTGGGCGGGGCAATAAGGAATTGTCCCCGCATATCATATATCTTGGCTATTACGAGGTGGAACTGGAAGGTATATGAACAACTTTGTTATTCCGTGGGGGATTATACTCCTAGGTATCTACCTATGCATATTAAAGGTATCTTTTTTTTTTTTTTTTTCGGTTAGATATTTCGTCTAAAATCGCGACACTAACACTGCAGAAAGGTTAACGAGTAAACTAGTAGGAGAATAGGTTAGGTAGCGATGAGTACCTATCTAATTTCTTAATTAGTTTCCATCCTACAATGTTCTAGGGGTTGCTAAATAAATCCCATATGCTAGATAAAAAATTGCATTCAAGTAGACAATGCTCATTAGCTAGGGCGTCTTAGGCTGAAATACTTGGCTCTCTAAATGATCTAAGTTGAGGTCCTTGTTGTTATCAATATGTCTACCTGTTATTAGAATTTCTCATTCCGACATGAGGTTATGTGGCATCCCTAGTTAGAGGATCTTTAGTGATGATGATAATGATGAAAACGTTAACGTCTATTGGTTGCTATAAACTAGGTAGCTTACAGCTGCGCATCTATGGCGCTTTTAGACGTCTAAAGTACCACCTCCTTAGGTAAAAAAAAATAGAGCTAGAGTATCGCTTAACATAAAAGATCCTCCACTTCCTGCCTATAGCATCCCCAGCTCCTACCTGCCTTTAGCATTATTTTACCTGGTTAGCGCCGGCGCCAGGTAGCCGACTTTTACCAGGGAAAAACCGTCAAACACGCCTTCTTATAACGGAGATGGAATTACCCTTAGCGCCTAGCAGTGCCTAAAGAAAAACCTGAGTCGGACTATTGGTTTGACCACAGTGGGATTCGAACCCACTTGTGTTGCGGCACGTAGATACGGACCAACACACATCCAGGCGTTAAACCACTACGCCATGTGGGCAGGATCTTTAGTGAGTTAGATGTGTGATCCTAGACTCAATCTACGTTATATCTACCATATACCAGAGAAGATAACGGGGGTAGAGCACCATCTAGAATGAAAACGGCACCTATACTTTCTCCACTACTCGGTTATAAGAGTACAGCTTTTTAAAGAGCTCTAGGCGATAATTCTATTTTGCGTATATTTTCTACACCACAGAGCTTTAAAAGCCAGGCCGGTGCTACGACTTCTTTCGAAACTTCAATCAGTATCGTCTAGTTATATCGAGGTAGTTGTATGAAAATTCATTCATAGGCAATGTTATCAATCCCCAGCGGAGTGTGTCTGCTTAACACGTCAACATGTGCTATAATTCTTTTTTCTCAACATTACAAGCAATCTCGGTACTATTATTAAAGGAGCTACGCTAAAGCTACAGTCCTAGGAAAAAAAGAATGGCTTTAATCGTAACTTAGTTCCTACCCTTTTCCAAGGTTATCACGATAACCATTATATTACCTACCCCTTTAGAATAATCTTTTACAATCCTTTACACTAACTAGAGAAACACCACGGTTCCTCTATATTTCATAAAAGACATCAGAAAAGAAAATAACTACATTAAAATACACGACAGCACGAAAAACAAAACAAAACATAGCATAATGCTAGCTCCCAAAAAATCCGACCCTGATAAAATTTGACTCGAAGAGTAAGAGAAAGTTACTACTCCGTCACAGGATCGAAGCTGAGTTCCACGAAAAGACCGAACATTAATAGTGTAGGCTGTGGCATTTGGCTTACTAGGTACCTGCCAATTGTAGGTGACAACCCTTATATATGTTATAGTTAAATACTTAGACTTGTTGGTATCCTTAAAATTCCACCTGAAGTATGAATACTAGGCTCTAAAGACTTGGAATACTATCCCACCTATATATTACCTCTTGTTGAATTTACCGAGTACGGCCGAACAAAATAGTTGTGCGGCGTTCAACTACTATGAAGAAACTTAAATCATCTTGCTCACAAACCATATACTACATGAACACATCGTGTGAATTAACTTAGTTATAACTACTGTAAGTTGGGATTTATGCCTGTTATGTATAGTCAGGTACGTGAACAAGAATTCCCTAACTATATACCTCTAAAAGAAATTAAATGCCACTGAGCTTTTTATAGAATTACTTATTCGTAGCATAGCAGCTAGGCAATGTGAACGGCCAGCGTTTGTTGCTGTTAACCCAAGCAATAGAAGTCTGATAAAATAAATATATTGTAAATTCTTTTGCACCTATAAGTAGTAAAAAGATCAGTTTCCTCGTTACAATCATGCTAATTTAGATATATACTATGCAAGGGACACAAAGTTCGCATGGGCTCGAGGACGTCAAATATAAAGTTGAAATTTCTGTAATTACCTCCCTAAAGTGATTTAATCACAACACATGAGGATAGTTGTGGACGTGATATAATGCTCGTAACTACTGTAAGAAGTGAATGATATAACTTAAAAATTAACGTGAGCCCTTTCGAAGGATCTGGATAAGGGAATTTACATTGGCATTCTGGAGATAAGAACTTCGACTTCACCGCTGCATACACCAGTTGTAGGACCACGGTCAGCCGCATAAAGTAAGTAGCACAAATACTTTTAGGCGGGACCTGATTCCCCCTTCTTACCTATCCTCCTCCCGTCCCCCTTCCTAAACAGGAACGTATAACTCCTTTTAGGGATCACTTTGGGATGATTCATTCCCCCACGGCTACTTACAGTTCGGTATAAGATAAGACGCATAGGAATCTTTACCCACGCCTCGACGCAAAAGGAAAAGACTTGTGAAGGGTATCGAAAAAAGCTAGGTAAGCTAATCGACCGACGCCACAAACCGCAAGGAGCGATGGCGATCAAACTTTTCTGCCCTAACTAGTAACGCTCCGGCTGAGGGAGGGTCAGACCGGCTCCGCAGCCGGCAATGAAACAGTTGATCTTCTGCAGGTCCTGGAGCGGGAGCGTCCCGTGAGATGACACATGTGACGAACCTGCATCTCTCCCTATATCCCATTTAATGTATGCATGCAAGATGGAGCCTGCATGCATATTGCACAACGTCCTAGACTGTAAGCTTTACTTGATAGAGGATATGGGTGGGGGTTCCTTCAGATGGGTTTCATATCCCAGGCCAATGAACGCCTCGTCGAGTTGGTTATGTCTTGTGTTAGGCCTACACCGAGTAGAGTGGAGATGAAAGGCTCGGGAAAGGAATTGGAAGGTTGGCCGAATGTTCCGTGTAAGACCAACGCCGTGGTAGCAGAACTGGTTGGTCAAAGAACTTCCCTGCGTTCATGTAGGCGGAAATGGGGAGTGGGTTTGGACTGGGTACTGACCGTTATGGCGTTTGTATGTATTCGGGGATGAGCCGTGCGGGTAGCTGCATTGGTGACATTTCTTTTTCTCTAAGATGGGAAATTTCTGTCGGTTCTCACATGTGAGTGATGACCTGTCGGGATCGACGCCGGTGACGAAACCACCTTCTACTGTAGATCTTAGAACATACAAGGCGTGCACAACTGCAGGTCTAGCCGTTCAAGTTCAGCTCCTGCGAAACATTCGCTGATGCGACGTCAAGACTCCCTCAGCCTCTTCTTTCCAATAGTCTGGGATAGGGTAGCACTGAGTTCTCAACAGCCCAGCCCTACATGGATAGGTACCCTTTGGCTTCTCTAGCGTCTTAGGACTTAGGACTTAGAAGGCGAAGGCGGCCTCGGCGTTGTCGGGCCCGACTGTCTGGTAGGATACAGTGGATGACAATGTCGAAGTCGGTTGATGAGACATGACTAGGGGTCCTTGAATGTCGTACAAATATATTTAAGCCCCTAGACCCGAACCCCTTCAATGTCTTTAGAAATGAGTAATAAACAAACTGCTTGTTTGCTGAGATTGTTTCAGCGCTTCAGCTGCAAACACCACAAGGGCCCATCCGTGCCTCTCTGTGTGTTACGCGATTGGACACAGACATGGAAGGAAAAAAGCGGAAAGAAAAAAAAGAGTATAGCATAGTAAGTAATATTAAAATCAAGGGTAATTTGATAATAAAATCCACTCGTCTGATGTGTATTAGAACCCTTGTCGCTCGATCTGAACGTATCGTAAATCCTTGTCTAAATCGGACAGGGTGCAAGTCTAACAAAAAGTGACACATCATAAAATTGAAGCTTCGCCGAGTGGTAGCATAGCGTAATGCATCTTCCATGTTTGCAGTTGAGCCTTAGTTAATCCGTCCATGGAACGGTTGAGATTGGAAAGGTAGCACGGTTCATCTATTAGATCCTATCAGATGAGGCGAAACCGGAGATGCAGAGCCACGACCAAGGATTCCATGGTGTCGGGTCCGATCATATCAATCAATGGCTGTCGTGACTTGTCTTACAAAGACGCCCATCGTCTAAGCAAGACGGCAGCTAATTGATCTTCGCCGCCTACCTGTCAGAAAACACGTCCAGCTGAATCGGAATACTTCCGAGATCGACTTGCATCATTGCGGCTGTTGCGACCGACCAATCAATATTAACATCTCGCCGTAAATAGTAATTCTTCAGGGTTCTTTAAGCCTCGAGGCTTTTCTTTGCTACTCTTTGGTATCAATTTGTTCGTAATTGACATATGCCTTTCCTATAAGAGATGCGTGCAGCTGATGAAGGAAAAGCGTTTCGAAATAATGCAGTGAAAGGAGATTAAAGAGCCTATATCGATATACGTAAGGGTGGTGGTAAGTGCCTATAGGACGGCAGACCGAAATTTAATCAATATAATATACATTGGATATCCACAGGAAATGAGTCAGTAAGATGGATATTAATTCCTGAATGGTTCTACAAATATGTTTCTTTAGTCAGGAATAGATGAAAACAGGAGAGTACATAATATAAAGTGATAAATGATTGAAAAGAAAAGAAAAGAAGAGCTCGATGGATGAATCAGCACACCAAATCTTAAATCATTAAACTTTAGCCTATTTTTCTGTAACTCCCTAAGGTACTTCCTAACTGAAGTTTATTTTATGTAAATTGTATAACTCCATATTCAGACCGAAATCGTACCTAAGTACCTGTCACTTGTTGTTTTATTGAGATCACGCATTTAAGAATGTATAGGTAATTATATACATATATCTAAACACAGATGTCGCTAAACTGGTATGATACCTCTATAGTATCAACGCGAATAATCCATATTAATGAAACTAAGCGAACAAGCTCGCGAGAGCAGTATATGCCTTTCTATTCTATACCTTCTTTTGACCATTCCTACACTCGCGCCAGTTTCCATGGGTATCCGAAAACAACATCATATAGTCGTACACCTCCGCTCTAATGAGCCCATCCCATATCCCCCATGTTTCCCCCCCTTTTCTGCCATTTGTCGTCCCATCGCATATCTCTCATTACAGCCGTAACGTATACCCACCCTCCCTTTAAGAGGTCCTGAATACTTCCACATATCCCCCAACTCGATATATTACCACTCTAGCAGAACGGGACTATATTCCGTAACCAATCCAGGTAGGCGTACCGCCTCATAAAGTTAGGCCAGCATGCAACTAAATACTACGTCGTAATTCGTCTAACTCCCGGGTTAATCATCGTCATCCGTACCGGCGCGAGATATGGACCGATGACGTTCCCGTGCCGTCAGTGGAATCGATGGGTATCACAACCTGCTATGCAAATAATCGCCGTGACCGAATGGAACGCCCCGTATATATTTCAAATCATAACCGATCCATATTCCCCGGCACTGCCCCGCCACGCATCCTATCCCTGTCGAAACACGTAATCACTATCGAGAAGTGCGATGGCTACGACGGCCCGCTCCGGCAGGATTCGCGGCGGAGGAACCGGAAGGTTCGGCCTCTTCTTCGTCTTCATAAAGATCGAGACAATCCTCGATGACTGGTACAGCTAGTTAGTAAACTGAGAATACGCACTGCGCACGATATCACTATCGGGTAGGAACGTACTAGTAACAATAGACTCTTCCCAGACTCCATATTCGTAGTCTACTAGACCGTGCCGATCAATCCCGTCGCAAAGCCTCACAATCTCTTTCCCCATCTTTCTCAATCCATCTTCGCTAATTAGCGTCTGGCCTCGTTGAGGCGGCGCGCCAGATTCCATCATATCCTTTTGTTTTTGGAATAACGAGAGCCATGCATGATTAAAATCCTGCCACATTTTGATGCGATCTCTGTAAAGATTTTCATCGTCCGCTGCGAGGCCTTCAACAGTTAAATTCACGAACGTCATGGCGCTATTCGATAAATGGACTCACCTAGTTCCACAACTTTGGAGAGCAACCACTCGGAAATGTTCAAGAGCGACTCGCTTGCAGCTTGTAGCACCCCGTTACGAATGTTGGTGAAAACCTCCCCCAAAGCAGTTTGGTATCGCGCATAGGCCTCACTCATCTCTGCCGTCTGTGAGTAGTCGGGTTCCTCTACAGCCTGCTCGGGCGTGCTCGTTTGTGCCATGCCCACTGGCGGTATCCCACTTGGATAGTTCTGAAGCATTGCACGTTGGGCAACTGGACTCTGCTGATATACTGCTGCTGATGTACTTGAAGAACCGGCATGTGACTGTAAACTAGTCGCTGCGGCCGCGTTGGTCGGTTCGCTCGGGAAATAGGGGTTGGACACGTCCGTTTGTATCATCTGCAGTGCTGCAGGCTGCCGTGACGGGAACTGTTGACTCGTATCGTAGACGGCACTTTGCGCGCTCGCTTGCGGCACGTTGTACATCATGGACGGATTGTACGTACTAAAGCTCTGTGTTTGTCGAGCATCTTGTCCGTATTCAGACTGGTATGGCATTGTATTCTGCTGCATGGCGGTGGAGAACGCTGCTGCCGGCTCTTGATAATATCCACTGTAGCTAGCCGTGCCTGCTATACCTCTAGATGCTGCAGGCGATGTATTGAGAGGCGCGGGCCGATACCTGTCAGACCCGCTTGCGCCGTACGACCGTCCCTGCGCATTGGGATCATGGATTGGGTACCTAGTATTAGAAGGGGCGTTGACGGGCGGTTCGTTCGGCCTCCTCCGCCGCCCGTGATCGTCCATACCACGGGAGACGGGTCGCAAGATGCTTTAAGAGGCGAGTCCAACCGATGCGCCTCCGGCAACGGAGCTAGAGTCAGAAAAAGAAGGGCCACTTTGGTTCGCTTAGGCCGTGGTACAGCCGGCCCGTTAGAGTCTTCCGAGAACCTCACCGCGTGCAAGTAGCGCGTGCGATAGGATCCGAAATAGACGCTATTAGTAGAAATCGGCCGAGAGTAATTTGTCGCGGTAGTAACAGAATACGCGGGGTCGGATAAAATTCTCACTTCAGGTTCCTAGACAGGGGACAGGTCCGACCACAGTAAGAAGTAAGGCTGCCCTAAGCTACGAGGCTTTCTCCTGACTGTTTTTTTTTTCGGACGAAAACCCTAACGTGAGGGGCTAGTGAGTAGCGATATATATGATCTGGGCATGAAACGACGCGTTTTCCGGGAATGCGTCTCGAAACGTTTCGTTTAATGGATGGAATACGACAGGACGAAAAGTTAAAGCTTGCTAGGGAAGACCGACTATGTATGAGATGCCGAAAGTTTGAATGCTGAAAAAGTCTTCTTGATGCAAACACCGCCCGAGCATATGTCGGGTACCCCCAACCTAGGCCCTTACTGGGATGACGATGCCTCCGAGGTCCCAGATTTTTGAGTTCGTCCTTACCTAGTAGATGCCGACTATGTAGGAATTTGGGATGGAGTTTTCCACAAAAATCCCCAGTAGGTTAGGGGAGGTTATTTGACTTGCCAACTGTCGTCACTACGCGTACCGGGAGGATCCCAGTATCTTTTGTAACTAACTTCTAAACCGACAAATAGTGACCTTGCCCAGCCCAATCGACTAGCAAGCCACACCAGGACCGGGGAGTAATACCTCAAATTCTTCAGCAGTTTTGAAAGATACCAGGTTAGATATCAAATTCGCCCGGACGTAACTGAGATTTCAGGTTAGCTTACTCCCTTCGAGCTGCGAGTAGATAGCTTTTAGAGTAGCTCGAGGCTAAGCCGAGATAAAAAAAAAATAAGATTGATCTTGGTCTGGGCAATTAAAGAGATAAACCAATGAGTACTAATGAGTGAGTAAAGTAATATTGTAATGAGGTCGTACGTAGATATTTAAGGTATCTAGGTAAGTATGGCAAAGGTGACTAGGTAGTAATAAGAATAGGGTATATGCCCGAATAATGGTGTATTTTGGTGTAAGTGAGAATAGAGTTGCTGACACCGGAGGATTTTAAAGGTGGCCGGGGATTTTGTACAGTATGTAGCAAGTATATGTGGTGCAGTGCAAGTGGACAGTAAAGCAAGCAGAAGGAAGGCAGCAAGCAGATAGAGGTAAGATAGCAAGATAGCAAGATTTTAAGAATTTAAGATTTTTTTTTTCTTAGAATAGTAAGGAACTGACTGGTTAGCCGGTAGGTACTTGCCTCATGATATATTATTAGGTGGATGTCGAGGAGTAAGGTCAAGAGGAGCCGGTAGTAAGAGAGGGAGTGGATACCCAATTAGACTCTAAGAGTAGTAGACAGAATGAGAAGTTCGAATCCCTTTTTCGCATGCACCCCATCAAACCTGTGGGTATGTAATACATGAGATCAGACGACGACCTTCCAATGAAAAACGGAATAGGGACGAGTTTTAACTAGATTCTCCAAAACACATTAACTACCACCAACGCCTTAACTCGCGCCGTGCGTAAAAGTACCTAGCCTGGGGCTTACCTGGGCTTGCTAGGCAGGGCTTGTCTGGTTGCGACAGGGTCAACAAGATCTGCGCAGTGCGCACAGGTAATCGAGAGCGGGTCCGAATGAGAGGTCCCCATGAGTCCCCTTACCGATACCCCAAGGGTGTGCCTCTACGAGACATGACGGGTGATCTGTTCAATACCCTACCGGACTACCTATGCCTGACCTTGCCTGAAGCTGATAGATACTTAGATGGATACTTGGATAGATACCTAGATAGATACCTTAGTGGAAGGGTGAAGAGAGTGTAGAGCCGGAGAATAGACTTATTGGGTGGTACGGGGTAAGGTATATTGGCCAGGGGCATATAAGACAAACCCTTTTCCAGCCTCAACATAGATCTTTGACTCGAAGGGTGTCACGGGTCACCGCGCATGTTCCTAGCGCAGATCAGCCTATCAGAAAACGGCCACCAGATCTTAGGGCTCGTTTGTACGATAGTGCCTGGTTTGTACGAAGTTGATATGGACATTAGGTACTGTATAGACATTTCCCTCTCTCTAACCCCTAACCCCTAACAAACATCAGCCTTTGTTACGTGCTAAGAGACATGATTGCCCAAGTGCTGTGTTATAGCGAACGATTTAGGTAGATAAGAAAGGGTAATTAAGATAGATTGGGGAAAAGAGGAGGGGGGATAAATATTTGATTGCCTACCAAATAAAGAACTTAATAGGTTAGAGGTAACACACGATGAAGTTTTGCTTTTCCCATTTTGTGCGCCGAGTTTTCTGTTGTGTGGCTGATGCTGATTGAGAGATAATTCCTTATTCTGCACGGATCGGTCATTTTAGAACCTACCATGAAGCAAGTATTCATCATTCGTCATTAATCATGTCATTTGAGGATAATTGTAAAATTGTAAAATTGTAAACGGCAATTGTCTTTCGCTGCGTCCTCTTATGACATATTAATTCAGTTTGTATGTTTAATTAAGAATATTGAATGATGAGATAGATACGAGGAAACGTAGGTAAGTATACAATCTAATACATTTCAAACACAATTACCTCTACAAATATATATACTTGATTAAATGTACTAATATTAGGTAATTTGGCCACATCTATGTAAGCAGACATCATAGAAAACAATTGTCCCCAATTATAAGGTAAGATCTAGGAAGGAAGGAGATGCTATATGCATGCAGATGCTGGGAATATGAGACCCGGTGCTTTCCGGTTTCTGTATGCGTACAATTCTACTTCTTGCCTTTTGTAAATTTATGTCTTATATATTTTTAATCGTTTTGATCATTTTGATACTAGCTTTGGCCCCCATCTCCAAAATTTCTGTCAGGTTGCGAACGGCTCGTTTACCGCTTGGTTTTTTTAAGACATCAATTTCCAAAATAAACCCATATTTTTTACACACCTAACTAATTAGGATTTGATACGATATCCATTGTATTGGTATGTTCTGCATGTTTAGTCAAAGATCTAGAAGGCGCCACTAAACGATCTAATTGTCTGTCATGAGCTTGTGATGGGAGCTGATTCAATCCCCCCGGGGGAAACAAGCCGGTAAGTATGAGTCGGACCACACACCCAAATAGACCAAGAAGCCGATAGAAGAATATTTATTTCTAATTGTCTCGATACTGTCGACTATTGGCTGATATAAATATTAAAAATAAAGTATGAGACTATACAATTGACCTTAGCCATGAATTGGCTACCTAAATACTTAGGTGGCCAACGTATACGTTTCTAACCTGGCTTGCTTACAGCTTCCATTACAAGCTAACTGCAAATCAATTGATGCCCGACCATTTGCTAGACCGTCTCGAAGTAGTTCGACCATGCTTACTACACGAGTTGCTAGCAGATTATTCATATTTACGAATCTTTACGAATAAGGGCCGAGATAGACCAACATTGTCTACAAAGTGAATATTTTAAGAGTAGGTACTTTCATACTTCCATACTTTCCATTCTTGTCTGGTATGTGCTGAGAATAGGGCACGGCAGTACGGGGTACCTATTAGGCCGCAAGGAGGCCTTCCAGCAAGAAATGGCGGATGTCTGGTCGTTTAAATAAGATCCTTGAACCTTGTTAGAGACAGGGGCGTTGGGATGTCGTCAAAGAACGACAAGGGTACGTCTGACATTGTCCCGGAGTCAGCCGGGGTGTTACATCAACCTATCCGCTGTAGCCTGTCATCAATTCTCAGATCTCTTTTACTCAATATCAACTACTCACTTCCTGGTAAGCATTTTAACGGTTAAGTTTATTATAGCATATATTACACGTGTTATAGTAGAGACACTAATAATTAGGTACTTAGACGCCAAGGTTGCGGTAGTTATTGGTATGCGGATAGCTCGTCGAGAGGCCTCTAGCTTAGAGCTTGAGCGAACAGTTCGGCAGTCACCTCGGCGGGATACTGGTCGGTCGTGCTAACACATACCTAACGCATGCGCAAGACGACCTAGATACTTGATATCCAATGTGCCTACCTCTAGGCCCGGCGTATCACTAAAATAAATGATAGGCACGGGATATTTGTGAGCTAGAATCCCCCGCATGTAATACACACATGAGGCAGATGATAGGCCTAGATCAAGGTATGAAATTGATTCTTCTTTAGTGTACTATGTACAAGAAATCACCCCATTTTTATGGGCTTTGTTGACTAGCGCAGGTCCCCGAGATTTCGAAAAGAATAGAAACTGGGCGCTGGAGGACCCACATGAGCTTTGGTCCCCCTACAATGCCTAGTAGAGCTTCTCCAATGGATCGCCATAGTCGTCATGGCTTGCTACGTGGTCCCCTTGCTAAATCTTAGGAAGTAGTAAGTACCGTGTGGCTTCACAGATATAACCTAAGTACGCTTAGATACTGTTGATACATCGGCGACACCGACTCTCCTATAACAAATTAACCCTAGGGCCTAAGTTCGCTAGCTGCTTCTCCAACTAGACGATCTACAGTATACTATACCAGTTTTTCCCAGACTTGGCATATTTTGAGGTTAGCCAACTTGGTTAGGTCGGTTTAGGCGGCCGGCGATATCTCCTTCAATACCGGATCGTCTAAGTACCTAAAGCCTAAATTGCGCAACATAAGTGCGTACAAATAGGACATCAGAACAGGAAAGATCGGCAATATAAAGTGACTAACGTTACAGTATTGGATGCTGTGTGGTTTGTCACTCTCAGCCTCATCCGGACCAAATGAGGCTTGCACCGTTTCTCCGCAGAAACACTACTTCTCGTATTGGGTCACAACTAAGAGTCAGGTCACGCTGATTCACGTCTATCTTGGTTCACTAACCAGACACGTAGTCGGATGGCTAAGATGTATCACATTTATTAATACGGGATCGGTCAAATTCAAAGTCAAATTTCTGTGAGAGATGACCAGCATATACTGTAGATGTCTTAGGTAACAATATCCTCATCGTCTACCGTACCTATTAACTTATAGCCTTAATTTATTAATTGCTATGTAAGTCACTAGCGGAGGATGCAAGATCTCAGCTCATGTCTTTCAACTAAAGTAGGCGGCATATAGCTATATGCTCAAAAACTAACCATGACCTCAATCTAATATCTCCTAAATGAATTTCCTAGACAGATAACTCCCTTCTAGAAGGATTCTGCGTCTGCCATTGTCTGAAGCTAGTCGATATTCGGCATAGTCGCTCTTCTCAATTTCTGGAATGGAATATTACTTAATGCTTATGCTATATGAGATGCCTGATATATGTTGTCTGTGCTTGATATCTACTGGATAAGCATCCTGCTTTTTAAAAATGGTGATGGTGCTGCGCGTCTTTGCGCCTGGGGTTATTGTTTGGCTTCTAGAAATACCTCATGAGTTAGCTATACTATGTTGATTTCAGGGCTAGTTTCATTTGTTGGATTTGAAGTTGCATTGATCACCGTCGTTGTATTACACGGAGTCCAAACACAACATAATGCCGATCCTACAGCCACCCGTCATACATGATATAACACAACCCGAATACCCGGTTACTCGACTCGTGTCTAGTCTAATCAGCGTCTCTGGATTCTGATTGGTCGACTAATATAAGTAAAGGGGGTCGCGTTGGCGAGGCTCATTTACGAAGTAGCCTTAAGATCAACTTCGATCTAAATAGCGAGCGAATCACGGGCCGTCTCGGTCTTAGCTGTTACTGTTGTTGGCATCTCATATACATTCCACATACGAAGCAGATACATAATGATACAGTAACCCTTGTACACATAGTCCACTATTTGGATAATATGGGCCACGATGTAGCCTAGACTCGTGCCAATAAGGCTGATAGGTATTCGTCTGCTCCAAGGTCCCGCAGAAAAGCGATCCACGAGTCCCACTGCAAAATACCATATCTGACTTGTTCTATCGCTTGACCCAGGCGGGCATCTTTCTCGCTTTGACATGACCAGCCTTCTTCCTTTCGACTTTCCTCGGATCACGAGTGAGACAACCGGCTTGATGGATCATGTTAGAAAGGTACTAGGCCAAAATTTGTATGGATTTTGTTTCGACTTACCTTTTTTAAGGGGCGTTTTTAATGCCGGTTCGTGGACGGCTAAGGCCTTGGAAACAGCCATTGCGAGCGCTTCGGCCTGCCCAGTAGTTCCACCACCCTCTACAAGAGCCCAGACGTTGTACTTGTCCATTCTGTCCATTACTTTTAGTCCCCAGAGTGCGCTTTCTCGGTCGTGGACTCTTCCGAATGCATCATTAAGGGTCTTTCCGTTAATAAGAACTTCCCCTGTTCCCTGTACAAGCCATGCTCGCGCAACTGAAGATTTCCGCCTCCCAACACCATGCGACCTGCCAAACCTATCGATCGGAATAGGTTTTGCTCGATTGAGATAGAAGTTGATGTCTCTTTTGAACGGTCGGAGACCTTGCTGGACCTCCTCTGGCATTAAATCAGGGTGAATTTGATTTAACCTTTTGGCCAGCCCAATACAGGCTGCGTAATCTCTTGCTTTCACTGCTTCACCAACTGCCAGACGGTACTGCTCCTTTGTCTTCCATGCCACCCGCGGCGCTTGGCCAGGAGGGAGAAAAGGAAGTCGCCCATATTTCCGTGCGAGGTCCTGAACTAGGACGAAACTATCGTTGAATTGCGTATGTCGCGAGAAGTAGGAAGGTGACAGCGGCATAGGACGAACATGCGCTATTTGTAATTCGGCTGCATCGGGGCTTTGTGCTAGAGCCGCCTCCAATCGACCAAATGCATCATCGTCTTGGCGAGTCGTGGTTGTTGTGAATGTTCGGTGTGTTTCCGAGCTCATACAAGCTTTTATAGATGCTGAGAGACTCGGTTGTCGGGTCGCTGTCGCCCGGAGGTCTCTAAGACAACGAAGGCCATATCTTAGAGAGGACATTATATTTATCGTAACCTCGTCATGGCCTTGCGCCTACTAAATCGATCGATCAATAGGTCGGAATGTTGGGCGTATTTTATAGGTGTGATAGGCTTGATGGGGACTTGGTTTGCATCAATTGAAGCACTTTTTCAAATGCAATGCCCGATGGAATTCAATTGGACGGTGTATTAGATATTCCGATTACCGTCTACCCTGATAGCGTGGGAAGGAGGGGTCCGAACCTGCAATTCAAATTGTTTCGACCAGACTCTACATAAAGTGGGGGTGTTAGTGCCTGATGGAAATTTGAATTAAGCCAGAGAGAAATTGCCCCGCTTCTTACTTTTGCGAGAGTAGAAAAAAAAAATCTGTGACTCCCAAGTTAACTTTCAACTTTCCCCTCCTCTCATCTTCTACTTGACAAGCACCAGATCTCAAAATCACAATGGCGCCATTCGGAAAGATCTTTACCAAGGAGGTAAGTAACAATAACTAAAGCTGTCTTATCTTATTTTTCTACGCAAATACTGACTTGTGTCCGTCGCGCAGCTTAACCCCCGCTCTACCGCGATCCTCGCGGTTGCGAAGGCCAATGGGTTGGACCTAGACATCGTCGAGGCCGACACAGTTAACCCGTCTCCTGAGTTCCTCAAGGCGAACCCCCTTGCCAAGATCCCTACCTTCGTTGGCAGCGATGGCTACACCTTGACTGAGTCTATGGCCATTGCCATCTACAGTATGTACTTGATACTTTCTAAATTGAATTCGTATTCCCAACACCTCTACCAACGGCATCAAATGATGACCTAGACATTATTCTAACAGTTATCCCTATCTGAAAATCTCTGTTGATCATGGTTCTACTTTCTGATCTTGCCTTTTATTTATTTATTGCTTATTCACAATTAAAATGATGTGGGAAATTACTAATTTCTCATTGTTCAGTCACCTCTCAGAACGAGAAGACCACCCTCCTTGGCAAGACTAAGCAAGAGTAAGTCATAGTCTACTAGCAATACCTATAGAATCACGCACTAACATTGCATAGCTACGCTTCCATTCTGAAGTGGACGTCATACTTCAACACTGAGGTCCTTCCCAAGCTTGCTGGCTGGTACCGCCCTCTTTTGGGCTTTGAGCCATACAACAAGAAGGGTGTTGAAGATGCCGCCAAGAACTCGGAGAAGGTCATCTCCGTTGTCGAAGAGCACCTTCTTCACAACACCTACCTTGTTGGCGAGCGCATCACTCTTGCTGATCTGTTCGCTGCTGGTATCATCTCGCGCGGCTTCCAGTACTTCTTCGATAAGAAGTGGCGCTCTGAGCACCCCAACGTCGCTCGATGGTACGAGACTGTCTACAATCAGCCCATCTACGCCGATGTCTCCAAGCCTCTTGAGCTTCTTGACGCCCCCAAGTTAACCAACGTCGCCCCCAAGAAGACCGAGCAGGCTAAGCCTAAGGCTCCCAAGGCTGCTGCCCCTAAGCCCGCAGAGGAAGAGGAGCCCGCACCTGCTCCCAAGCCCAAGCACCCTCTCGAGGCTCTTCCGCGATCAGAGTTCGCTCTTGACGACTTCAAGCGCTTCTACTCGAACAATGACGAGGACGTTTCCTTAAAGTGGTTCTGGGAGAACGTCCCTTTCACCGACTACTCCATCTGGAAGGTCAAGTACAAGTACAACGATGAGTTGACATTGACTTTCATGTCCAACAACCTGATTGGTGGATTCAACACCCGTCTTGAGGGCTCTCGCAAGTACCTCTTCGGCTGTGCCTCCGTGTACGGCGAGAACAACGACTCGGTCATCGAGGGCGCCTTTGTCATCCGAGGCGATCAATACCTCCCTGTCTTTGACGTCGCTCCCGATTACGAGAGCTACGAGTTCACTAAGCTGGACCCTACCAATGCTGAGGACAAGGCCTTTGTCGAATCCATGTGGACATGGGACAAGCCTGTCGTCCACAACGGCAAGGAGTACAAGCACGCTTCCGGCAAGGTCTTCAAATAAGCTATCGCATTGTTATGAGGATGTATGGTTATGAGCTAACGAGTTTATGCAAAGAGGGCCGGCTTAGGGATAGGGATAATGAATACCAGACCCAAAGAGGTTAACTTATAAGTAGCACTAGGTTTCTATGTAGTACCTAAAATATGCTAGTCGTCAAACCATTCTATGTCTTTTGAAGTGTCGTGCATGTCCTAAATTTTATAAAGAAGCGGGGAAATTGAATGCTTATTTTTAGTAACTGGACAAATGAATTCAGCTAGTAGCTAACATATCCGGAAGAAAGAGATGCACATTCATTGAAAGAGCCCTAATGACTCATCTAGTAAGTCGCCTATACTTGGCTACTATATAGCTTTTAGCATATCTAAGGTGAGGTAGGTTTACTCTACTCAAACTACTTATTCACAAGCTACAATATCCAGATTAAAATTCCATAACATCTTACGATTTACACTAGTTATTAATTTACATCAACACTATAAAGGATATTATAATTATGAAGGGCACCCCAAGAACTCATCACACACGAAACCGGGACGAAGTCGGCCTCATACTCACGAGTCCCGACAGCCAACCTACATTATGTTCTGTCATGTAAAACGACGACCTTTTATAAGGATAGCATAAGTACCAATATATAACATAGAGTCAGAACTTAGAAGAATAGAGTTAGGGCTTAGCAGAATAAAAACGGGGGAGATTAAGTGTTGAAAAATAGGCATGAGTAATGATGGAGGGAGGGAACTAGTTAGGACTGGCTTATGAGAAAATGACAGATGACTCCTATAACAAGGTTTTAATAAGGCTTGGAATAATTTCAATATATTAATAATTTTCTAAGGTCTTAAGGTTCATAAAGATCCTTAATTTAATCTAGAAAATCCTAACTTATTTGTAAATAATCTTAAAAAATGTATTTTCATACTTAATTTTTCTATATTAATATGTTAATTTTATAATATAATTTACTTACATTATTTTATAATACATTTTATTTAATAGTTATAAAAATAGTTATTTTAACCGTTTAATTAGCTTTTAATTATTTTATATTTTAATTAATAATTTTTAACCATATTATTTATATAACATCATTTTTTTTTTTAATATATTTATTTTTAAATTATTAAAATTAAATTTATAATAAAAGGTTTACGTTTTTTAATAAAACTTAAAAATCTGTAAATTTATTTAAATTTTATTAATAAAATATAATAATTATTTATTTTACACTTTTATTTTTAAAATATTTATAAAATTCTTAAATTTAATATTTTTTAATTAACCATTTATTTTATTTAATTAAATATTTTACATTTTTTTAAATTTATATAAAATTTTTAATTTTATTTATTTTATAATTTTTAAATTTTATTAAAGTTATTTTTTATAAAATTTAATTAATATTAAATAAAATTTAATTATTAACGCAATAAAGTTTAATAAATAAAATATAAAAAAAATTATAAATTTTTTACTTTTTAAATAATTAAAATTTAATAATAATAAAAAATATTACTTTTTAAATTTTAAAAAAATTAAATATTGAATAAAGTTAATAGCTTTAGTTTTAGTGTTAAACTTTTATAGATTTGATTTTAAAGACTTATAAATATAATCTTATAAAATATATAAATGGAAATAAAAAAAATGTATTCATTATAAAAGAAATTATTTATAATGGGTATATGTAACCATAAGGGGTATTTATATTAAGATTATTATTATATGATTAAAAATAAAATTATATAATATCTTACTTTTATTTATATTTTTTTTTTAAATTTAATCAAAGTTATGAAATTAAATTTAACCCATAAAATAAAGGTTAAAACCTTAAAATAACAATATATACAAAGATCGAATCCAAAATTTTAAAAGAAAAAAAAAAAAAAAATATTACTTTAATTATTAAAGCTATTAATCAAGCTTTATATAATACTGTTATCTTAATATTTATCCTAATATCTTTAATATTATTAATTTTATTAAGTTTTAAATTATATTTTAAATTTATATACGATATAATTTAATTTAATTAAGATTTATTAATTAGTTATTTTTAAGATATTAAGTTTAATTATAATATTTATTAATAAATTAAATATATAATAAACATATAAAAAATTATATAAGTTTTTTTTACAATAAATTTAGTTAATTTCTTTTTTTTTCTCTTTTAATATTATATTAAAATAACCTTTATAATTAATTATTTATTTTCTTTAATATTTTAATCTTAATTTAATTTAAATAAACTTTAATATTAACTAAACTTTTACTTCCTTTATAATAAATTTATTAATTAATAAATTAATTAATTATTTTTTTTATGTTTAATTTTTCTAATTATTTTATATATTAGGTAAAATATAATTTAAAAAACATTATATAATTATTTTTAAATATTTTTAAAAATAATTTATAATAATTGTTAATATTTTTATTAAACTTTATTACCGTATTTTTTTATGCGTTAATAAAGCTAATTTAATCTTTTAATATTTAATTAATTAAAATAATATTATAACTTTTATATATATTTTTATAATTAAATAAATTATAATAATTATAATAATATTTTTTAAATTTTATTATATTTTATATATATTAATTAGGTAAAAATATTGGAAATTTAAAAATTATATTAATTTAATAATTAATAAATAATGTAATTATTAAAATTTTAAATAAGGTTTTTAATAAGGTTATAAATAAAATTATATTATATTATATTATATTATATTATATAAATATTAAAATTTAATTAAATTAGGTAAATAAATATTTTTAAATTAGTTAATAATTAATTTAATTAAATTATTTAAACTTTATTTAAATTATTAATTAAAAATATTAATAAAGCCATTATAAATTTAATTATTAATTAATAGGTGAGCTTGGGTATTAACTATTAAGGTGGCTATTTAACCTGATCAAACCACAATAAAGCATTTTTAATAATATGGTCTTTTTAAAATTAAGGTTGTGGTTTAAATTGCTATATAGTTGTTATTAAATAAGGCTAGTAGTTTTAGCTTTGATATCAAACCCTTATAAATTTAATTTCAAAGATTTATAAATATAATTTTATAAAATATATAAATGGAAATAAAAAGAATATATTTATTATAAAAAAAATTATCTATAATAAGTGTATATAACTATAAAAGGTATTTATACTAAAATTATTATCATATGATCAAAGATGAGATCACATGATACCCTGCCTTTATTTAATATCTTTTTATTTAACTTTTTAATTAATTATTTAATTTTAATATTTTTTATATTTAATATTATTAATTATTTTTTTTTTAAATATTAAAACTTTTTTTTTTTTTTTATTTATTTTTTTATTTATTATTAGTTTTTTTTTAAATATATTTATACATTTATATAAACTTATTTTATTTAATATACATATAAATAATTATTTAAATTTTTAAAGAAATTTATTAAAAAATTATAAATAATAAAATAAAAATTATAATTTATATAAAATAACATTATATATATTAAAAATAATATAATATTATTATATATAAATTTTATTATAAATAATAAATTTTCTTAATTAATTATTTTATAATTAATAAATATTTTAAAATATATTTTAAATATTTAATTAAATTATTTTATTTAATTATTAATTTAAAAATAAAAAATAATATTTATTTATAATTTAATATTAATAAATTTAAAAAAATTTTACCATAAATAAATAATAAATTTAAAATTTTAATTAAAAATAATATTTAAAAAAATTTTATATAATCTTTAATAAAATTTAATAAAAATCTTAATTAAATTAAAGGTTTTTTGTTCTTTTATTTTAAAAAATACAAAATATGCCATTTTAATAAAAAAATTAATTATAACTTAAATAAAATTACAACCATTTAATAAAAAAAAATTAATAATAAAATTTATAACAATAATATACCATAATTAATAATATAATTCCATAAATTAAAATAAACCATAAAATATATATTTATTAATTTTATTATATTAATATTTAAAATATCCTTATATATATTCTTTTATTATAATTTTAATATTTAACCATCAAAAATTTTATATAATAAATTCCAAAATTTTATTTATTCCTATATATTTTACTATTAATATATTATATTTTAATTTCATAACATCTTTTTAAATATTTTAAAATATTTAAAATTAACCCTTTTTATATAAAAATTCTTTTTTTAATTTAAAATCTTTTCCAAGATTTTCTTTTTTATTTATATATAAAAAATCATTTTTTATTTTTATCTTAATTTTTTTTATAAATTCAAATAATCATTATAAAATTAAAAAATTATTTAATTATTTAAAAATAAAAATTATTATAATTAAATATATTATTTTAAATTTTAAAGATATTAAAAAATATTTTTTTTATAAAATTATTATAATTAATTGGTTTTTAATTTCCCTTTTTTTAAATTAATATTAAATTAATTTAAATAAAATATTAACTTTTTTATTTTATTATTTTAAATAATAATTAATAATAAATTAATATAAAAATAATTTTTATACCTATTAAATTTACTTTTTATTTAATACTTTTATAATAATAAAATAGGTAAGATTTTAATAATTAAAATATACTTTAATATAATATTAAACTTTTTTTAAATAATATTTTTATTTTTAAAAATAATTAATTATTATTAATAATTCTTTATTATATATTTTATAATTTATCTTTATTAATATTAGTTTTTATAAATGAAAAATTATAAGATATAATTTTTTATTATTTTTTATTTATAAAATAATTTTAATAATAACTTAATTTAAAATATTGATTTTAATAAAAACCTTTTTTTTTAAATTAAAATAAATTAAAATAAAAATAATAATATATTTTTCTTTTAATTTTTTAAAAATTACTTTTATTTCTTTTATTTATTTTAATCCTTTTTATTTCTTTTATTAATTTTTATAATTAAATTAACTATTTTTAAATATTTATAAATAAATTT